GCAATGACAATGACGATAACAGTGGGACACATTTACTGAGTGCTGTGTTGGAAGCATTTCCAGTGGAGTCACTCATTGCGGCCCCAAAGCAACCTGTGAGGCCCCATTTCACAGAGGGGAAAACCAAGGCCGGGAGAGGTTTAAGTGACATTGTCACAGCACCCAGCTCCACTACTTACTGGAAATAACAACCACTCCCAGTTATCAATCAAGCATTTACATTGGGCCAGAAATCAAGCTAAGCAGTTGAAGGATATTTCCTTGCGTAAGCCCCAGAGAGAGAGAAAGATTGTTCCCTTGGAGAGGTGGTAATGAAAGTCGCCAGCGCGGGAATGGAGCTCGCTGAGCGTCCAGCACAATTCTGGACTTTTTATTTTTTTTCTCTTCTTTTTTTGGACTTTTACTTTAATGATCTCCTTTGTTTCTCTCACCACAACCTTTTGAGGTCAGCACTGTTGTCTGTGTGTAACAGACAAGGAAACTGAGGTTCCAAGAGGTTAGGGGATGGCCCAGGGATACCCAGACAGTACAAGTGGTGGCCATGGGATATGACCTGAGGTCTGGCATCCCAAGGCCATCCTCCAGCCCCTCATCATATTGTCTGATGGTTGCAGAGTGGCCTTTGGGGCTCAGTGGCGCCTGGGACGGGGGTCTTGGGGAGGGCTCTGTCAAAGCTGAGACATGAGTGCAGAGCAGGTGTAAGAAGCAGAAGAGGCTCCAGGTGAAGGAACCGCATGTGTGGAAGTCCAGAGGCTATGAGTTCGGGGAACCCCAAGGGCCAGTGTCTGTCTGGGACCCAGAGTGGGGAGAGGAGGGCGGGACCCAGCGAGGGGCTTAGGAGCCCATCTGAACCCAGACAGCCCAAGTTGGGCTTGCCAGGAGGGCTGTGGTTAGATGTATGGGTTTCAAAGACCTCTCTGGTGGCCTCCAAGTCTGGATTGGAGGGACAGTGATAGAAGGCAGTGGCTGTGGATGCAGCAGGCACCACCGGGAGCCAGGGAAGACGAGGGTGGAGCCACGCAGAGGTGGGGAGCAGAGTGGACTGGGCGATCTGATGGGGGCCCCGGACGGGGGTCTGAGGAAGGGGTAGTGAAGTCAGGGGCCAGGAGTCTGCAGAGACGGGTGCCCTCACTGAGCTTGGCATGCAGGAAGTACTTGGGCAATGACATCCAGGAGTGGGGGTGAGCAGGAGGCAGGTGGACCCCAAGCTGGGGCTCAGGAGGATATGCTCGCCTGGAGACAGAGCTGAGGGGCCTGCACAAGGCTGGAGGTGGAAGGAAGTGAAGAAACATCTAGAAGTGAAAACTATCAGGACTGGGTGGCAGCCCAGGAGGTGTGGGGGTTGGGCTTTGCTGAGGGAGGATACAGCAGAGGACCTGGTTTGGGGCATAGAGTCGGAGATGCCTGCGAGACACCAGGCAGAGATGGCTTGAGGGGGCCTGAGTGTAGCTGCAGGAGCTGCAGGTTGGAGGGGGGGACTCTGGCAATCTGGGGCTGGAAGGCCCCCCATCTAACACCTCATTACTTTATCCACCCAACAAGCATTTCCTGAGCCCCTGCTGTGTGCCAGGCCCAGTTCCTATGAACAAATCCCTGCCTTCATAGACCTAATAGCCTTGGAGGGGGACAGTGCCCAAAATGTGATAAATAGTTGTCATAGGATGTTAGTAACTGGCCAGTGCTGAGGAGGAAAATAAAGCAGAGTGGGGCAGGGGCCTGGCTGGTTAGTTCAGTAGGTTAGAGCCTGGTGTTGTAACACCA